GGGAAAATCTTAATCCCTCCCCTTACTTAAAATCGAACCAAACAAGAGAAAACTAAAAATTTCCCTCCCATCCCTTTCCCTCCCCTCCGTTTCCTCCGAACCAAACAAAGCCTAAGACCAACTCCAATGGAACTGGAAAACGCAAGATGAGGGAAGAAATTTGCTCCAAGCAAACCAAAAATGCGTTTTAAGCCCTCTCTCTCCTCATTGAAACACAAATATGCGTTCGATCGCAAAAAATGCGTTCTTACTTTTGCAATTGCAATATAAACCCTCATTTGTTATTAATTACATAATTGGCACAATAATTAAAAATAATAATTCCTTCAAAAACTAAAGTTGTTATGTATATGATGTCAATAACTAATATAATAATTCCAAGTTGGTATATATATGATGTGTATGTATTCTGTTCATTAAAAGTTATTAAGAAAATTTTATGAAGAATACTAATAATAATTTTATAAACAATACTATTATATTTATTCTCTAATTTTATATATATTAACATATAAAAGCTATAGATATTGAATTTTCATATGAATAAAATATAACACTAAAAATCATGAAACATTATAAATTCAATCCAGGAAAGCTATTTGCAAACATTTTCATGAAAATCTACTGAAATACTTTTAGAGTAATTTATCAATGTTCTAATAAAACATTGGAAATAATTTCAAACAATCTCTCCAAAACATTGTTTCAATCCAAATTTTTATATAATTTTTGCTTATTGAACAAATATGCAGTATATTTTGTGGGTGTACGAATATTTTAAACAAAAATAAATTATTATATGTATATTTTTTATAATCGAATATAAAATAATATTGGGTCTAATTTATAAAGTTGTTAAATATATGAGTAGTATTGAAAAGTTGTAAAAGTTGATATAAAAGAGAATATTTTGAGAATATTCTTTTGAGTTTGAGAATGAGTTTATCGGTTGGAGAAAAATTACTGTTTGACGTGACAGTTACTGCAAAATGAGTTTGAGAATGAGTTTTTCGGTTGGAGATGGTCTAAGAGAGAACGTGTGTGAGTGAGAGAGTAGGGTTTCTAGACAAGCGAGACGATTAGAGAGTGAAATGTGGGTGCAATTGCATATATAATTTTTAAATCATTTACTAATCCATTTTATTTTATGGTCATCTTCTTTCAAAATCTTAATTCATGCTTGTTTATGAAATAGTTTGCTTAAAATAAGTTATTTTAATTAATTAGGGTTAAATTATTAATATTTTTTATTTTTTATGCAATATTTTTTATATTTTTTCATTTCATGTTACCTTGTGAATAAAATATATATGACTACCAAAATTTGGATATACGGTAAATCTAAAAATCATGAAATTTATTATAAAATATTCTAAAAATAGTCGGACAATTCTTTCAAAATAATTTATCTAGAAGATAGAAAGATAATATTATAAAAAAAAAATATTTCAAATAAGACAATTATCTACCCACCATTGGAATTTTACAGAAGTTGTAGTTACAGAACACAATTCTCTTGAAGAATCCAATGATATCTTAGAGCATCTCCAATGCTCAAATGTTGTTGTGGAAATTACATTCCACATCAACACATTTATCAATACCACAACTTTTTATTCTCTAATGTACAATGTAATCACATATGACTTGGACATAATTAATGTCTACAGTGTAGAGAAGAATGTGGTTCATTTACATTTTCCTCCACTTTGTAGCTAGCCAATGAATAGAAGACTGAGAATAACTCTTACCAATTCCAAGCAATTTAATTATTTAATTAATGTTTCTTATTATATATTATAAATTTTATATTTGGTAAGTAAATAGAATTGTAGTTAGACTACATTGTGCATTGGAGATAATTTTTTAATTTCATAGTTGTAAACTTAATATTTTCCTACATGGTTCACAATCTATTTAATTTATTGACATTTGTCAAAAATTATTATACAACAACATTAGAGCATTGGAGATGCTCTTACGATCATTAATCGGGTCTTCCAATCAACGGCAATATAGCCGCCACAACTCGCAAAATATTAGAACTTTTGTTGGCTTATTGTTCGCGATTGAGAGATTCAGTTGGTAATCGGATGGAGATAGACCGCCTCGGCCTTTCTCGACAAGTTTGATCGCCTCAAGATTTAGTTCGTAATTTTATTATTTTATTTTTATTATGCATATCTATTCCTTTATTTTATTATTCTAGTTTTCTTATTATTTTAGGAAAGAAATAATTTTCCTTGCACCCTGATTGGCAAGGTTAGGGTTTATTTTTATTATTTAAGGGGTGAGAAGTAAAGGGATGAGACAGTTTTTGACAATTGAAAATAAATTATCTGATTGAGAGAGTATCTCAACTGTTCTTCGTGAGAGAGTATCTCACTTGTTTTCCCATTCGTACTACGTTCGACATCATAATCCGTCACAACGAAATCTTACGGCGCATTTTGTCCAACAAATCTGAAAACCTGATTGAAGATGATGACAAACTTCGAAGTTTTGTATGATGAAATGTATGGTACTGTTGAATAGTTTGAGTTTAGAGATTCAAAATGGTTTATGATTTGAAATCCTCAATCGCTATTGATTTTAGAAAATTTAACGACCAAATCCAATTAAATTGTAGGGAAATGTTACAGTCTCGTTACGAAACCATTCCGTCGGGGTTTGTAACCATTAGATCATCAAGTAACCATCGAGGATAGTTGATTTAAATGGTACAAACCTCGATTGAGTAGTACCGTAGCATCTCCCTAAAATGTAACCTCCAATACCAAAAAGGAAAAATAACTAGATATTTTGTTTACTAACTTTGATTTATTTCCCCATAAATATTAACATTATGGTCACTCGTCTTCATATTGTAAATGAATGTAACACACTTTACCGTATAATGTGTAATGTACATACTCGATTTCGAATTAGTCGGTTCCCCTGTGGATTCAGAAACCGGAAGGTCCCTTTACCAAAAAAAAAAAAAAAGAAAAAAACAAATCCTTCGAATTCCTTCATTTCAATCTACAAAAAAATTCCAACGGCACAACACCTTGTTGAAAAACTGAAATCCAATGAATATTATGTTGGGAATAATAGATAACAATGGAAAAAGAGACACTCAACAAAACTCACTTTTTATTTTATTTAATATTTTTCTCAAGAACAATAATATGTAATACAAGGCTCAAACAAGTTCTTTGGAACTTTGTCCAAAAACTCTATTTCCTCCCTCTCTTTGAAATCTTTAGGGAACACACAAAAATTGAAAGGAGTTTTGGGATTGATCAAGCCTTCTTACTTTCTTCATAAGATTTCACAAAAGAAGAGAAGTATATATAGGTGTCATTTGCCATGTGTGGTTACAAGTGTAAGATGATCTCTTTAATGTTCACAACTCATCTTCTTGAATGAAGAACCATTAAACTCAACATGAAAATTATGTTCAATTAATCTAAACTAATTAAATCAATAAGTTTCAACTTTGTGAAACATTATCTTATTATTACATGCAAATAGATGAAACCTATCTTACATTCATGCATTGTGTAACTCATCAATTTACACTCATGGATATAACGTATAAACTTCACCTAACACATTTGCATGTAATTCATCTCACTTTTATTTTTAACCAAAATATAACATATTATAAGATATTTGATTCCAAAATCCATAAAATATTTCAATAACATATTACATATTCCAAAATTTGAAGAATAAAATTAATCAAACCAAAAATATTATTAAAACAACATTTAGCAATCCCATATTTTTCTTTTTCTTTCTTTATTTCCTGCCTCGGGCCATAAATACCAACCATTGACCGCCGCAACTAGTTGTCCCTACAATACCGCCAACTTGATTTTTATTTAACTACTATCTTGAATCATCATATTCTACCCTTTTATATTAGTGCTATTAGTGTCCTGTCACACCCAACAAGGTGTGTCAAAACAATTTAAAATAAACATGTTATATTACAAAATAAACATGTGTAAATATGGTTTAAACATAGTTTATACATGTTCATTTTGTAACATAACATGTTCATTTTAAAATGTCTTGGCACACCTTGTTAAGTGTGATAGGCGCACATAAGTATTTGCGCTTTTATATAGACTATGTTTGGTAAAACTAGCTGATAAGCTAGCTGATAGCTGATATGTTAGCTTATAGCTTATCAGTAATTTTTTAGCTTATAGCTTATAGCTTATGACTTATAGCTGATAAGCTAACTTATATGATAAAGTGTTTGGTAAAATTAGCTGATAAGCTAGCTAGAATTAAAAATTCAACTAGCTTATTTGAAAAGCTACTTAATGAAGTTTATCAAATAAGGTCGAGCTTTTTAAATAAGCTCGTCTTACCAAACGAGGCTTATTTAAATACAAGAAACTTATAACCTAATCAAATAAGCTATAAGCTAGCTTATTGATCTACGCCATAGTCATACCTTCCCTATAAACATCTCTTCAAGACATACATACATTCTAACTCTCAGACTCTCAAATCCCAATCCATCCTTTTACTAGCATTCTTAGATCACTCCATACACCAAACACAAGAAGGAAAAAAAAGAAACAAATGGCATCCGAAAGCACCAAAACCGCTGCCATCTTCGGCGTTACGGGCCTTGTCGGTCGGGAGCTCGCTCGTGCCCTCCTCTCGTCTCCCGATTGGAATGTCTACGGCATTGCCCGGCGCCCGGACCCCACCACCACGACCGGCATCCCATGCGCCGACCATTACCATTTCATCTCGTGCGATCTCCTGAGCCCTTCCGACACCCTCAACAAACTGTCCCCTGCCTTAAAAGACGTGACCCACGTGTTCTGGGTCACGTGGGCCAGCCGGTCCCCTCTCGACTCCTCCGACTGCCACGACCATAACCGAGCAATGCTTGCCAACGCCCTCGACGCCATTTTGCCGACCTCCAAAGGCCTGAGGCACGTCTCCCTCCAGACGGGCACCAAGCACTACATCTCGTTCGCGGGCCCCACCGGAGGAGGGGAGGAAGCCCGGCGCTACAGTGAGGAGTCCCCGCGGGTCGAGAGCACCAATTTCTACTACGCGCTCGAGGATTTGCTGCGGGAGAGGCTGCTGCGGGCCCACAATGTGGGCTGGTCGATCCACCGGCCCGGATTGATATTGGGCTGCTCGTCGAGGACGTTGTTCAACTTCATGGGAAGCGTGTGCGTGTACGGCGCCGTGTGTAAGTATCTGAATCTGCCTTTTGTTTTCCGGGGCACGAGAAAGTGTTGGGAGGAGATGCACGTGGACATGTCGGACGCTCGTCTCGTGGCGGAGCAGCATATTTGGGCCTCGACGAGCGAGGACCCTGGCGTGGCGAACCAGGCTTTTAATGTGACGAATGGGGAGGATTACACGTGGAGGGAGATTTGGGCCGCGATCGGGGCCCGGCTCGGGGTGGATATGACGAAATCACGGAAAGGAGAGGACGAGGTGTTTACGGAGAGCGGCACATTTTGTGAGGCGATGGGGGATAAAGGTGGGGTTTGGAAGAAGATTGTGGAGAAGGAGGGGCTTGTGGAGGTTGAGATGGGAGATTTGGCTAACTGGGGATTTTTGGATATGCTGTTTAGATGTCCTGTTAAGATGCTTGCGAGTAGGGAGAAGGGTGATGTTATGGGGTTCAAGAAACGGTGTCGTGTTTTGGATTCGATTTTCTATTGGATTGACGTGATGCGGGCTGATAAATTGATCCCGTGACGGGGTAGTTAAGAGGAAGTGGTGGGTTAGGTGCACCACTAAAGTCTGGTTTGTTTTTAGAAAAATGCTTTATTCTAATTTTCTTGTTCCAAGTTGTGAGGACAGAGCGCCACTCAGTCACAGGTTATGTGGCTTTAGCCCGAGGCCTCGTGCTAGGAGTTCGTGTCTTGTGGTCAACTATGAAATTCTCATTTTAGTATTCTAAATGTTTTGGTAGATGCTATGGTCTCGTTACGGAATCATTCCGTCGGAGTTTGTAACCGTCATGTAACCGTCGGGAATAGTTGATTTAACGGTTACGAATTCTGATGGAATGATTCCGTAACGGGATCGCAACATTTTCCCTAAACATTATCCATTGTTTGAAAAAAGGAGATAGTACTGTACCCAAAAAAAAGAAAAAAGGAGATAGTACTATTGTGCTGTTTGTCAACACTTCTTTTCGTTCTTTAATCTTTATATTCTTTCTTTCTCTATTTTTTTTTTTTTTT